AGGTATCAATATAATGCTGCATCCACCGTTTTCATCAGCTTTTGCACTATGTGATATTTGGCTAAATAATTATATCAAGCAGAATTTAACTGACCAAACAAATGAAAACTCATTGTCTCGTACGTTTTTTCAAGGTAATTAAAAATATTCCAGAAGAGTTTACAAAAACAAAACTTTCACAAATTGTTAAAAAAGGATGAAACTTTGTATAAATAATTATGGCAACTAGGGATCTGTAAAGTAGTCTCGATCCCGATCTCGTCGGGACCGTAATCGGAACCAAATTTTAATTTTAACGAGACCGGGACCGGGACTTTAAACTTGCTAAAACTAGTTCCGTTATATTTTCTGCTCGAGAATTAGACCACATATTTTCATACTTATTATTTTGTTCTGACTAATCATCCACAGATTGACCCTTTTTATTTATGATTGATATAAAATTACGAATCTGCAAAATTACTTTTTTCGATCCTAAACCGAAACTGGGACCATCTTGGAGGTTCCTATTAAAAAAAAATAGTACTCCTAGTTCTGTAGATCCTAAATTTTCATATTATCAAAGTGACTCTTGAGAGAACACTGGTATAAGATCATTCATTTAGATTTTGTATCTATGCAAGAACTATGAGTTCTGAAAGAATTTCCTAAATCACATGGCCAGAACCAAGGAAAATCTTGAGTGAGACACAGAAGTGGCTTTGTATTTTAGTCATGATGTATGCATATAAAAGGTATGCTCATACTATTAATTTCGCAAAATCATCAATGTTAATTTTATATGTATTCAAAAAATCATACGGATTATTTAAAAACATCTGTTTTTTTCTAGAAACGAAATCAGGATTAGAAGCAATAAAAAATTTTAATTGAGACCAGGACGGGATCAAAAAAAGGTGGTTCCGTCGATGCCTAATGGCGACTATTTTGAACATTTCATGGAATAAAACTAAAAATATCTCTCTATTTTTAAATTATTTTCCTGCTTTAATCACCTGGGAAAAAGCAATTTGTTTTTCGAACGTCATGAAGTTTTTTTTTTGAAAAACTTTGGCACGCCATCCTCTATCATGCTTAAGCAAGGAAATTGGTATACACTCAATTATTTGACTTGAAATATGCACGTGAAGAAAAGGTTCAACTCTTTGGAAGCTTATATTGCATGATTATATTGCTTTTGTGCATCACGATCTGATTCAAGAAAGCTTTACTGAGCACAGTGACAAAGAATATAATTGGAAGCATAGAAAAACTTTGCTTCTACCGAATTAGACGCTTGGGTGACTAATAAGAATACGGATTAATTTTTCTAAAAGAAGCTGTTTGAAAGAATAGCCACTCTCATGTCTCACAATCTTTCCGGAAACATTGTTCGAGTATGATGTTTTTATAGTAAAACCTGTTATAAGGTATTGTACAGAACTGCATGGCAAATTTTTTGGTAAAAAGTTCAAATCTGAAGCGATGAAAATTGGAGATGATATTATCAAAATTTTCAGGATGACATTTATTCTTGATCATCCATTATTTTATTTTTAAACAGGATTGTCATCTCGTCAAATCAGAAAAAAAAGAAAACGATGTGGAAAGCAGTTTTTTTTTAATGAGTTCTTCACATTTCTATGTAATTAAATAACTTGTTGCTTCTTTGCATGATACTTCCTTATTCTTAAAGTTCTAAAACATAACAAATAATACATAAAGACGATGGATATTTTACTAAGCACATTATTTTTTGAATGTAGTAACACATACTATTTGAATGGTGTTCTTTTTGAGATAACAGATAGTTGTGCATGTTCGTGCGATAATGAAATATTTCAATGTATGTGTATTTCTGCATCTATTAAATATATTGTTCTTCAATTTGCAAAGAACATTGGACACAACAGTCATATTTCCGAAAGAACATGTTCGAGATTGGTGTTGATTGTCGAAATAAAAGATGGAATGAGTAATATAGGCAATATAGACTGTAGACGACAGCAACTACAACTTACTTAATATTAATAGATTTTTATTGTTTCAAATTTTTCAATAAAAAATAAAGAAAAAATTCTCATATGAAAAAGCAAAAGAGGTTACAACTTTGTTTTTAAATAAAATAGTTCAATTAAAAACAATACGAAAAAATCCTGTTGAACTATTCTGAATTTCATTTTTCTTATCTGGTTACTTCGATTTGGAAGAATTAAATTTCCTTCTTTCGTTAAATATCTAAGATGAAATAATCCATCATAGAAGATGTAAACGAATTTTCGTCGAACTTATCGATAATAAATTAATAGTTTAGATTTGTTATATGTCAAACTCGAATATATCGAGTTTATACTTTTTTTTTTAGATTACAATCATTTACGATTCTCACTACTTTTTTAAATTTATTTTCGGATGTATCTGATTCGAACTGATCGATAAAATGGATTCAAAATGTTTATTTCATGATTGATTTCTTTGCTATTGAGTCAATTCAACAGTCTTTACATGAAACAGACAAGAGCCTACGATCAGATTCATGCGTCATATTTGGTACTCATCCCTCATCTGTGGCAATCAACGAACTCTCAATCCGCTTCTTTAATATAGTAACTGGATCAGCCGATATAGAATTTTGGTGTCCACAAATATAACAACCTGGGATTGAATGAACCCCATGAATTAATAACAACGGTTGTAGTTCAATAGAGTCATAGTAGTGAAATTCAAAATAGTTGTTTTTCCAAAAACTATCACGACAGTGATGAGTTTTTGTATGCGATGGATATTTTTGTATTTAAGTTCAGTACGATTGATTGAAACGAGCGTGAGATATATTCTTCATGATACTACAAAAACATAAAATAAATCTAGATACTGCAAGGTCATTTTATTCATCGTTTTGAATGTTAGAAAATGAAGATTTTCATTCTAGCTCGATGTTGAAAACATAAAATTAAAACAAATTTATTATGAAATCGATAAGTCAAATAATAATGATTATTATTTACATGATTGTGAATACATAATCATTCTCAACATGATATTGTAAACAAGAAATCTTTTATTCTATCGTCCTTTTCCTTTTTTTTCTTAATTAGGCATTCTTTGCCTTCTCAGGAGCTAAAATTAATCTAAGATTTACTTGTCAACAATAATTAGGCTTCTCTATTCTTTTTTTTTTCTTAGCCTTTCAAGGTGTTGCCATTATTGAATATTATGGCAATCTTTATTCTACAAAACAAACTAAGATATAACTATAATTTTTTCTGTTCAAAATTAATCTTTGCTGACATACACATAGTTTTGTAATTAGACATCTTTAAATCATTTTACTATAGTCCGAACAATTAAAAGTATGATTTAGAATTTTACTTTTTTTTTTAATTTCATGATTATGTGTTGTTTTATTTTTATATACTATAGACTGATATAGATTGGTCATATATTTACTATTATAATCCTATAGTGATCCTCTACCTATACTGTATATCTTGAATTTTTATCTTTGTGTATATTTGTATATATAAATTCAATTGTAGTGATTTTCAACATTTGATATCCATTTGCACATTACACTTTGTTTCACATTTTTTTTCTATCGCACGTATACATGACACTGTGTACTAATATATTGTCAGATAACTTTTTATATTACGCTTTCTTTCTTGTATTATGACATATAGAGTTGATCTGAAGGTATAGTGGCTATGACCTCTTTATATGAACAGATCAACTCTATATGTCATAATACAAGAAAGACCGTGTAATATTAAAAGTTATCCGGTAAAATATTAGCACACAGTGTCATGTATACGTGCGATAAAAACAAATATGTGAAACAAAGTGTAATGTGCAAATGGAAATCAAATGTTGAAAATCACTACAGTTGAATTTATATATACAAATATATACAAAGACAAAAATTCAAGATATACAGTATAGGTACAGGATCACTATAGGATTATAATAGTAAATATAGGACCAATCTATATCAGTCTATAGTGTATAAAAACAAAACAATACATAATCATGAAATTAAAAAAAGTAACATTCTAAATCGTACTTTTAATTGTTCGGACTATAGGCCAAAAGAAATTTTCTAAGATTATTTTATTCGTTAAAGACTAATATAAAATAGTTGCTCTTCGCTTAGATTTTCCATTAAGCAAATCATTTTATTTTATTTTTAATATAAATTACAAAGAAGTTTTAGTAAGAAGAAGCACAGCTTATGCATCTGTTAGATTTTCAAGAGGTTTGTTTGCTTTTCGATATGCATTTCATAATAAATTGTTCAATTTTTTGTTGTATATTTGATAATAACAGGTTGCATTTTAAATAATTTCAATGGATTAAGAAATATTAATCGAAAACATAAACGATAAGGTCATCGATGATTTTATCATCAGAAACATGGAATTATGACTGTGTATATGGTTTTTTGACCTATAATGATAATCAAGAGTAATTTGTCGTTATATTGATATCTTTTTTAATTCAAGCATAAACGATAACAGAAAAAATAAATGAAATTTAGAAACATCTGTTCATGGAATATATTGTCGAAGAAAAAATAAGTTCTAGAATGATTGAAATTATTGATACAAATATTTTGAATATATTATCAGATAATGACCTTGACAAGTTTATATGAGGTCTCGTTATTAATTATCTATCATTGTATTATAGAAAAAATAAATTGTTTTCGATATATAAGTTATGTGTTTTTTTTTTCATTTATATTTGTCTCGCATAATTTTTCGACAATATTAATAGAAAACATCCATTACATGTTATAGTATAGCGACGTCATTCGTCTAAGATTGTTTTATTATTAACTATGCAAATCTCAATATATTTTTCGATAGCGACTAGATTAATTTATATGTTTAGAATACATTGGAATTGATTAATAAATGATCGATGTATGTTGATATATTCATATTTCTTTTAAGAATTATTGTCCTTTTTGTTAGTAAGTAAATATAATCAACTAGCTATTCGATTAATTAAATACGATTCGTATATCTATAGAATACATCAATTAGTTTGTAATATTAATATCGAGATAGTTATATCGCTCGTTATCATTTAAGATATATATTCATATGTAAGCATGTTTTCGTACTTTTAACGATTTTTACAGATGTAAACTTACTCCTACTATAGAAAAAAAATGAAATCAACAAAACGAAAGTCAGTCAAGCAAAACCTTATAGTTGCTGCTATGCTTACATTCGTCATATCTGCTTTGTCATGCGTAGCAAACGTTTAAAAGGAATACAGAGCGATAGATATAACAAGAACATAAGATTGATTCGTTATAGTCAGTACATGGTATTTTAAAAAACAATATACCATTGTAAGTTAGAAAAGTTATACATCGAAAATATGAGCAATAATAATAACAACAATAATAATAGTGATAATTTAACAAAACATGATGATCATTCATGTGGTTCGAAAAATCGATTAAAATCTTCAATAGTACGTGGTTCAAATGGTTCTATGAGTGCTTTCAGACGATTTTATCAAAATGGTGGGAGAGATTATGAACAATATCGTCTTTGGCTTCAAGCATTATCAAAAGCTGAACAATCATCAACGTCATCAAATCCGACAACTGAAACCAACGAAGAGTAAATAATAATAAAAAACATATTTTTTTTATTCCAACAAAAGAAAAAAATTATATCGACTTTTTCTAGACCGATTGATATAGAATCTGATATAACCACTATATTTCCACACGTAGTAGTATCATCATCATCATCATCATCATCATTACCATTACATTCGCAACATTCTATATCAATACCAAGAATTACACGTGCATATCCAATACTGAAACCGGTGGGACACCGTATACCTTTACGAAGAAAATCTGAACTTTCATCATTGCCATTACCTACATTTTTGTCTTCAATATCGGCAACAACATCATTGAAACCTCAAATTTGTATTCCATGTGATTATTCTCATATTTCAACTGAATCATCATCATCATCATCACCATCATTTATCGATTGGTCAGTGGCTGATGTTGCTCAATTTATTGGAAAACATTTTCCTGAGAAACATATTGCTCGAGTAAAAATTTCTTTTTCTCTTCTTTCTTTTTTTTTTATTCATTTTAATTATTTATTTATTTTTAAGAAATTTATGCAACAAAAAATCGACGGACGTACACTACCATTATTAACTGAAGATCATTTAACAAGAATACTTAAAATGAAACTTGGTCCAGCATTACATTTACTTACGCTTATATCTAATATGCAATTAAAAAATTAATAAAATAATATTAAACAATGAAGGTTTCTGTCTTAATCATCTATTATACATGAAAAAATAGATTCATTCACTAGTATGGTTAATGATCAGTAATATTTATATAGACTCGATTCATTGAGCCGTAGACTGACAGAATAGAAATATGTATATGCATGGATTACAATATAAATATGTGTTAAGTATAATATCAGATAGATAAAACATATGACCTGACATATAAAAGCGATTCGTTCCACTAAATGTAATTTAAAACTTGATTTTTGTATTTATAAAGAAAAAAAAAGACATTTTTAATATACTGTACTTGTCTAATGAAGTTTAGTTTATATGCACATTGTTATGGGTTTTTCTATAAAAATTTTGTCACATTTTTTAATTAGTACACTATTATGAGTATATTCGTTTTTTGATTTATAATGCTATTTGTAAAATTTCTATGAATGATATGTAATTATAAATAGTAGAATATTGACTTTAGAGATTTTATGTTTGAAATTTAAATATTTTAAATTAAGAAGTTGACATTCAAAACATTCCAGCTATTCTCATCATTCATATTATTTTGTATTTTCTTTCATGTTTCGAATAAAATGTATGTTATATATATATATATATATATATATTCATTTATAAATTTGTTGACTATCAGTTATGTTAGCATTATTGTTATTGCAGAAAAAAAAAATATTAATATAAGATTATTCTAATAATGTAATTTTATGTTCAGATTCATTCTCTAACTCTTCATAATTATTATATCGCATCCTTATATATGCAACATTGAACAGTCGATCAAGCTATTCAATAATTTAATAACAATGATAGTCACTTCTAAATGCAACTGAAGTTGAATGAACATGTTCGTAAATCTTCATATATCGACGTATTACATCGCTCAGTATTGCAATCGTATTTCTCTGTGTGTAATACAGAGAAAGGCGGTCGTAAACGGTGACATATGAAATGTTTACGGTTCTCGCATTCGTCGTCATAGGATGCTATTCATATGCTAATTTGTATCGTCATGCGTAGATGCCTTTCTTTATCGTCCTACACTGTCATTTGCAACATACTTACTAGATGATAGCTATTGTACAAACAGACAGATAGATAGATAGACAGATACAGGTGACTTTCCATTTTGAGACCCTATCCTTACAGTTTAGAGAAATGTTTTTTCTTTCCCTTATTTTTCTTTTATGGCTTTTTTTACTTCGTCTACAGTATGAAAACAAAAACCTATTCAACCATATTAAGTCTTGAATAAGATTAATTTGTTTTTTATTACTGTCTTGTCATTACAATGATTATACTCGTTTTAAACATCTCATGGTTTTCATCTCTTACGAATCATAGGTTTCTTTCTTTTTATATTTAGTAATCAAATCGTCTTTATCGAGCTCGTAGTTTTCTTTAGAAAAATAACAAGATATATATATATATAAAATAGGTCGTCATGAACATTTTGATCTAAATAAAATAAAGATAATTTGATTGTATTGCTAAATAGAGAAAGTTATGCCGCGTATCGATCTACTCTATTATTTTCTTCCGATTTATTGCTAGTATATTCGAATAGCTTTTCAATCGATCATAGTCATCCAATTTTTTTTTCTCTTTCGCTCTGTCTATTTCTTGATGAGTATGTTCTATCACATTAACATATAACATAACTACGTAGTAAGCATACGAAGAAAATATTGGCATGTTCAATCTTCTATGCATTTATTTGTGTTCGGCTTTTGAAAGAAAAATGTGCTAATTGAGATTCTGGTAAGACTAAAAAGAAAGAAAAAGAACAAATCAAAAAGAGGAAACGATTGAGTCAGTCAATAGAAGAGGATTATTGTTTGTGTGTGCAATGTTATTAACAACATCATGCGATAATAACTTCCGCCTGACATAAATTTCTACGAAACAGAAATAAAAAAATAGTAGACTCATTGTCATTTGTTCGTTTGATGCATACTTCTAGACAACTAGAAAAACAAACATAACATTTTTTGATATATTATCCACATCAGTTCTTAATAACTAAAATGAAACATATCTAGATAACATTTGTTAGTACCGCTTTGATGTTGCATGATTAAGAACACGAAGAATTTCATATGAAGAGGAAAAAAAACTATGTAAGAAAAAAAAAGCTGGTTGTCATCATAAGCGTTAGTAAATTAATTTAAAAAGAAAGTAACTCTCGTCATGCTTCATCATTTAAAGGTTAAAGATTACAGAAAAAAGAATTGTTTTTGACAAGAAAAATTCTATTATAATATTAAGATCATGCACTAAGAAGATTCTAGTTATATATGAAATAATATTAGAAAATCAACATATACATACAGGAGTTATTGTTTATTTAAACTTATAGTGCCAGAAATGTCACTCAGGATCCGAAAGAAAAGCAAATATATATATAATCAAGTTTTTTTTTTTTTTTACAAATTGCAAATAAGAACCGAACAATAATAAGTATTCTCGACTTATTTCATCTGATCACTTTGATGTCTTAAGATAATTTTCTACAAATGTCATACACAAAAAATTTTCTTCGTATTTTTTTATCTTAAGATGACACATGCTCAATATTCTCTTGTGTTTTCTATTTCTATAAATCTCAATGAAGTAATGACAAGAACAAAGATAGAGAGAGAGAGAGAGAGAGATAGAGCGAGAAAAAAAAGCTGAAAAAACATGAAAATAATGCAGACAGTCAACATTTTTTTTCTTGCTATCGAACGATGCGACGCATTTGGTAGAGAATCGACGTCAAGCATTTGCACTCTCTCTTTTACTATCGTTATAATCCAGCAAAGAACATCTTGTATTGTGCGACTAACGGATTTTTTGCGTATGTAGTTACGAACCTCCCATGTCGCCAAAATGGATATTAGAGAAATATGTGAGATGATGGGTTCCCTGTCAGTAACGATAAGTTCTATCCATGATAGTCGTGCCGGGAGAAAAATGTTTATATTCAATGATCGATCTAATTTATGTTTCGTTTCCTTTTTCTTCTTTCTTTTTTTTGTTTTTTCTTTTTTGTAATCTATCTTTAGAATAATATGACAGGACCCATCGAGATATTACTGCATATTACTACCAATAATAATCAAAACAATAATCAATGTCGAACAGCTCAACGCGTAAGTTATTTAACAAGAAACTAATTTTTTACATTAGTGATTTGTTTTTATTGAATTTTCTTCTATTAAAAATATGATTAATCATAAAATATTTTAGATGCAATGATCTTGACATTAGTTCAGAAATGAAATGATTGATTAAATCTAATGAATATTTGAGTTAATAAATACTCTTGATTTTCTTTATTAAATCGATACTATTATATTACATTTCTTATTTTATATAGTACATTAAATTATGTTTTTTTTTTTACTCCAATGTTTAATTTATTCTGCATACAGACAGTATCTTTTTTATTGTCTACTTATTGAAATTAACTTTTGTTGTTTATATTTGTGAGAATGGAATAATGGAACATACTTTTCAGCTGTAAAAACACAAGAATTTTCTATTTTTAGTTTTTTGAATAATTTTGTAAATTATCATTTTTTTTTTTTATTTAAAAAAGGTTTATATTACTTTTCTTCTGCTTTTTTATGCTCTAAATATATCATTTTTTATTATATTTTTCAGTTAAATCATACTTTAATTTCCTGAGTAAAATTATAGTTGAGCGAAAGAAATAAGAGTGACAATGACTAACCTTGATTTGTTTAACGAAGTGTTGTTTTTTTCTTGAAAATAAAAGTGTCAAATCTATGATTATTAATGGATATATTTAAATAATAAAATTTTTAAGATAATTTTTACATGATTTTCTTTTTCGAAAATAATTTCAGGCAAAAAACAAAATTTTATTTAAAATAAATACTTTTTCGATTGATCGTTGTTCCAAATGAATTTATTTTCACATATAAATTATTTATAAATTTTTTCTTATGTTCTATTTAGAAGATATGGATGAAGGTATTTATCAAATGAGTTTAGTCGAAAGTCTACTTGTTTTAATCGTTATTGGTTTATGGCTATTGGCTGTTATTAGTTTAGCAAGAAAACTTGAAAGAATTTGTAATCCTCCATCAATATTTCCTAATTATTCATTACATACTAAAGCAAGTGTATGTCCATCATCACGTCGTGATCGTCATTCAAATGAATCAGTACAATCAACACTGCCACCACCAATTACTTTTGTTCGTGCAACATCCGAACCAGCTATTGATGCATCACCTCGTGCAACTATTTATGTTCGTTCTCCAAGTGAAACATGTCTACATGTTAAATCAACTTCAACATTACGTGTATCAGCAATGTCACAATATTTAAATTCACCAAGTGCACTTGAATTAGGCAAAGGTGGAATGCATAGTAGAGTTGGTTCACTAACTATTCCACGTACTAGTAGTTATCATATTCGTGTTGAAACTACACAACGACCATTAATAACACAAACATTATTAGATCCTAAACGTATACCATCTATTGTAAGACGAAGTTTTTTAGATTTACATCGACGTGCACTAGTTTCGAATACTACAACAAATATTTCGCCTATTCGATGTATTGTTACAGCAGCATGTAATAATTCAAATGCTAATGCACAACATACAACAACAACAACAACAACAACAACCAATGCTAAAGTTCCATTATTAAATAAACATCGTAAAGCTAATGATACAGATGAAGATGATTGGTGTCTAGGTAAATTTATTATTCTAATCACAAAAATATTCTAGAAAGCATCCTGTCGATATGTTTTTATGTTAGAAACTAGTTGCATGCCAACCATTGAAGAGTTCTTTTTCTTTTCTTTTCTTCCTTCATCTTATCAAAAAAAAGAAAAGAAACTTAAAATAACAATAATGGGTAAACATTAAGAAAAAAAAAAGGGCTAAAAAAAAATACATCATACATACATCAGTTGCTACTTTTTTCTTCTTCCAACGACAATGTCGTATTTTCAAAAACAACGAAAATATACAGAAATTTATAGTAAAACTGAATATTTACGAGGTTATTCAGAAGAAAAAGTAAAATCAATTTAATGTATTGAATTTTCTTTCAATTGGTTTTATTTCTTGTTTTTTTTTTTTTGGTTCAATTTAGACTCGCAATCAAGCGACTAATTTGTATCAATTTCTTAAACCATCACAACGTTATGCAATTCAAATCGAACAATTTCGTTCTCAAATGAATCTTGATTATCAACCACCATTACCACGACCACCACCACATGCATCCTGGTGATCTATTCTATTGTGATATTTCAACAACAAAACATTATAATCGATGCAAACGATAAATTCTATATATTATATTTTTTTTCTTTTTTTACAAAACTAATTTTTTTTTGATGAAAAAAAAATATATATATTTATTATATACAATTCGAAAATATTGAAAAAAAATTGGGCATCACATGGAAACAATTTTGTGTTCAAAAAACAAAATTCAAAACGAAATTATCATTAAAAAAAAAACAGAAAAGTTTGTTTGGCTGATATCGGGAAAGAAAAAACAAATACTTTTTATGTTTTTTTTTATCACCGTTTTGATTTATTCTATTTAAACAAGATTAAAACCTTGATTATGTTGAATAGCTTCAAGTAATTTAGCTTTTAAAATTTCCTTTGACGAATATGCCGGTAAATCAAGAATATTAAAACATGTATGACTAACAGGTAGATGCATATTATCAGTATGACTTCGTTGAATTGTCATTGGCTAAAAAAAAAACAAATACTTAAAGAATATTAAATCTATTCAAATTATTTATTTATTTACTAATGTTTGACTCCATCCGAAGACAGGTACTCGATCAGAACCGGTGAGAAATACTAAAACGAAAAAAAAGTAAATAGATATGTAAAATAGAAATATTTTTTTTTCTCGTCAAACAAGTAAAAAGAAATATTAGTCTTTGCAATATATTCAGCAGATTTTTTTTCTGCATCTAAATTAATATATATACGTAGTGTGCTGTTGGAAGCAACATTTTTGACCTTGAAAATACCTTTCAGAGACACTTTTCTTTAATAATACGACATTTTTATATTAAGATTAGAAGAGATCATTAATTGCACGAAGAATCATTATTCTACTTGCTGCTTAATTATTTTAACATGTTTTGATCTAACTTGAAACATATCTATACACTATAATAAGATAAATTCCATCATATGTCTATACAACTTCTAATAAATACGTATGAAATATAGATTTTTCTTTCTTTTCAGATAGAATATTTAATTTATAATAGACAAATCTATGTAATAATGTGCTTTAGCTTCGAATGAGTTCTATATAAAACATGTTTTATATTTTAATCTTATTGAAATTCTTCTCGAAGCTACTATTTCCTAAGGAAAAAATGGCTTAATATTAGACATGCACGGAACTTGAACGTTCAGATTTTATCTTGACTACAGCTTTTTTTTTCCAGTTAATTGATAAAAGGAAGTAGGAGTAAGTAAAAAGAAAAGATTTCAGAGTTGACTATGATGTATTTTGCACACTATGAAATAAGTAGTTTACAGAGACCGGAAACAAACTAGATGTTATTCATCAATACCCGAACCTTGGGGTACTCTAATGATTTTCTATATATCTAAAGAAATGCTTTAGTGTTCATCTAACTACTCGACATTGTCAGAATTACATCGAAAATTGAACGAGAACTGTTCGTCGTAAACAGCAAACAAGAGTTCAGATTTAATACATGACTATATAATATTAAATTTAATAGAAGATTTCATAGAGAATCTTTAGAAAACTTTATTAAATCGTAAAGATTTCAAATTTTTTCTTTTTACGAAGCCTTTTTTTTTTCTATTTTTAGAGTAAAGTAGAACTACTGTTATTACTTTTTGAAGACAAGAGATTTATAATGAAACCTTAGAAGCTATTCATTGAATATATGAAAAGAATTAAAAATACATTGTTTTGTTTTTGATTGTAATAATTTTAGTTTTCTATTTCTGGTTTTTGAATTAATCGCTATGAATATTAATGTGTATGATAATGCATTTTTTCTTTTATAAATGTTCATCTTTCTCTTTAGTTGTTCTTGTCACGTAAAAACAACATTATTATCGGAAAAAATACTAATTTTGTCAATTAAGAAGCAATTACTCAAGATGTTCTGTTACCTATCAATATGTGTTATTCTTATTGAATTTATCAATAATTTCTATTTAACCCACTAAATCTAAATAGATTTGTTTCGTTTTTTTTTTTTTTATTTTGTATAATGTCTGTTAGTGACATGTGGTAAATTAAATTGATTATAATAAGAAATGAACTTACAAAGAAATTTCTTTTTTTCTGTTTCATTCATTTTATGAAATACTTGCCAAAACCATTGACTAAAAAAACAAAATTTTTCCTTTAAAAATTAGAAAAAAAAACGATAATAATTTTCTTCTTGTTGACTTACATAACAGGATGATTAGCATGATATTCTCCTTTATATTCAGTTTTCTTTTGAAATTCATTCCAATCATAATTAGTATTACCAACCTTTAATTAAAAAACGAAAAAAACAAAATCAGAATAGTTTATCTCTTTTGATTATATTTACCACAAATGACATTAATTCATCAGGATAAAATAATTCTAATGGTTTAGAATTAATAACTCGACGAAAACCAGCTGAAAAAGCTTGAAATTGTGTTTCACATGATTTATTAAATATATAATTAATATATAAATCAACAAATTCTTGTTTATTATTTTGATTAACCATTATAGATGCACCACCGAGTTTTAATTCAATTTGACGTTTTTCATCACAAAATTCACGTTCAATTATAAATGTAAAACAAAGTGTTGTTTCAAGATCATCTTCAGTATAATTTAATAATGATTTAAGACTTTGATATATTGATGGAGATAATGATTTCATATCATCAAGATCAATTTTTCCTTTTTTTAATAATTTTTTATATAAAGCTAATGGAAATGGAAGATCAATTATTGTTACATTATAAATAGCTAATGCACAAAGTGTCTAAAAGAAAAATTAAATAATCAAATCAATTAAATATATTAATCACATAGATTTTTATTTATTTTTTTTTAAATATCAATGCTCATCAAGAAGATAAATATTATGAGCCTGTCATTAACCCTTTGGCTATCGCCGATGCATATATGCCTTCGGAGCCTCATCTTCGTGTGAGCTAAAATAGTCATTCATAATATATGTTTTTAAAACAAATACTAGACACTAAGCCCTTCTCAAATCACTATTGTATTAAGGCACATTATAGAATTGTTTCATAAAAAACAAATAAATCTTCTGCAATATCGTTTCTTCCTTCTCTTATATCGACAGCCAAAGAATTAACCAATGAAATTTTCTAAAGTACTTTTAGATAATAGCGACTTAATCCAACATGCGACGGATTTTACAATTAGAAAAAATTATTTTCTTTGAAAATATATAAATTTTTTTCAGAAATTCTAAGGCTTATTAATCATTTATACAATTTCAAAATGAAATTTTATCTTAGGTGGGTTTAATCTGAAAGATTGACACATAAACATAAGTCAATGTTTATTTTTACTATTTAATAAAAAACGTGTTCAAAATACTTTGATTGACTCAATTCCATTTTATGAACATTGTTAATTTATTACATTTATGTCGATTTCCTATCTAGTAATCGTATTGACAGAATGCATTGTTGATTTTTAATTTCATTCGAAAAGACAATAGATGCGTAAATGTTATACGAAAATAAAAGAGCAACAATAATACATCCATTAGCTTAATAACTTCTACGAACAATAGAACTAATTCTGTTATTTTTCTTCCTATTATTGATTAATGTTTATACAACAATTCTTTTATGTTAAAGAACGAAAAGCATGTCAATCAATCAAATTAATACTATATCAATTTACTAATTATTAATCTGTGTATCCATGTTGATATATCATAATCTATTCTATCACTCAAATTTATACTCCAGTTAACAAATTCCTATAGAACACTTTTTGTTATAACAGTTCTTAAGATATTACGAAAACTGATATCGATACAACGGAAAGGTATTTAATTCTCTGTTCTTACACAAGGACTTGCAATAGAAAATAAAACAATTCATTTATAAAAGCTGGAAAATAAGTTTATCTAATTATTACTAATACTTACTCCAATTAATTTATACATTGATTCATCTTCAATCATATGGTCACTAAACCAAATTGTATTAGTTTCTTCATAATATGCTAATAGAAAAATAAATAAATAAATAATCAAACTAAATTGAATAATTATTTTTCTAGGTTTTTTTTCTTACTAAACATTCCATATTTCGGATTTAATATTTCTTTAGTTAATAAAAGAAAAAATTCTTTACGTATTCCACCAGCATCAAGACCTTCTTCGTTATGAAAATAGACTTGTAATGGTTTTTTAAAATTTTCTTCTTTTTGTTTATCTAACTAAAATCAAAAAAAAAACAAAAAGTTCATTATGTTTTATGTTTTTATTAACATTTTTATTTTTTAAATTTTACTTGATTAATTGTATCTTGAACAATTGTCTTACGATTAATATGTAATACAAGTAAAGGATTAACTGTATCGACATGTGCACCTAGCATAGTTTGAAAATTATGTATAAATGCATTTTGAATTGCTTCTTGCATTTCAAGTTGTCCATGATATTGAAGTAATACTAAAAATTATTATTATTATTATTTAAAAATTAATAAAATTTTATTTAATTAATTACAAATTTTTGCTTTAAGATCAAATAAAAATGGATAATCACAAAATGAAATAATTTTTCTATCCTAATTGAAAATCAAAAAAAAAAAGAAAGAAAATTTTTTTATTATTGAATATTATATATAGTCATTTTGTTTTACTAACTCCTGTTTGTGATCGTCGTTGCCAATAATCATAATCTTGTTTCAGATTAATTGGTCCATTAAGTTCTTTCATATAAAATGCATCATAAGGTAATAATTCAGGTTTAGCCATATTACATGAAACCTGTTTGTATTAGAAAATAAAATATTTAATCTTTCATATTTGTTTTTATAATTGAATTAATCCTTACTGGCAATAGAAGATACTGAATCTTCTATGATGTTCAAAAGAACAAGTTTCTTAAGAGAGTCTTCTATTGCCTTTCATTTATATTCATAGGTTTTTTTTTCAGAAAACTAAAGAAATTTTGATTGTCAACATGGTCTTTAGAAAACGAACAAGTCTACAGATTTTCACGAAACATT